ATTATTGCCACCTTGCTAAAATATTTTTAAAGGCAGTTTTAATATTACACTTTTATAGCTACATATTGCCATTAAGCTATTGAGTCTATTACTAGTCAATCAAGGATTTTCATTTTGTTTCAAGAGCTCCTTGGATAAACTCTTCAGAAATGTCAAAGAGATGGAGTATATGGCACCTTTTCACAGATGGTGTTCATCAGGGATTTTAGTTAATGGATAAAGTTTCAGTTTTCCATGGTTGACTTTTGGTACTAACAAAAGTATTCTAAAGACTCCTGCTCTTCTAAAGGCTAGGGGATAGTAAGGAAATGAATCCCATAACACCCCCAATCCTTTATTCTTAATGAGGTAAGTTAACCAGGGACACGGAGTATTTCACTGGGTCCATTTTACTAAAGAATAGAATATATCTTGAAGAAAACCAATTCAGCTTTTCCAACAGCTCCAAAACTATACTAACTTGTGCTCCCATTCCCAAGAACAGCAACCAAAAACAAATACACAATAGGAAGAGTTAAACTATCACATGAAGATTTATATACTCAGCTGGCTCATCGTAGAAGCTAAGTGTACACTTTTCCCTTTCATCTGTTCCAGAATCGTCTACACCCATTTCATTCATTCCTTCATACATCCATACATTTATCTGACACACATTTATTTACTACATATGCACCAAACTCTGTGCCAGGTGGTAAGTACAAGGATTCAGATGTAGTGCTTTCCTCAAGAGAATTTTAACCTAGTGGTGGAGAAAGCCAAGATGGCACATGATTATTTACCATTCATTGGGATAAGTGCTATAATGGAAAGGAGCGTGGAGGTGGCTACATGATCCCGGGGAAGGCAGTGGAAGAGAACCGAATCCCTTCTGTGGCAGGCTCGGGGGAGGCGTTCCTGGAGGTGATGGTGTTAAAGCTAAGGCCAGAAGAATTAACGGGTATAACTCAGGTGAAGGGAGGGAGAATGGAGAGCATGACTGGAACTGTGAATGGCACATCCCAGGGCTGGGGATACGGAGCCCAAGAGGTGAGGTTGGAAATGAACAGCAAGCAGTTACCGCCCAAGAGCTTTGTAAGCTGTGGAGGAGCTGGGGCTCTTTTCCTGAGGGCAGTGGGGAGTCTCTGAGGAGCTTGAAGCCAGGGACTAACAGGGATCTGATGTCACTCCAGCTATGGATTGTGTTCAGTGGGAGGCAAGAGTGCAGCGGGAGAGCTGTTAGAGGAGTCTTTCGCCCTAGAGAAATAAGGTGGCGCCTGGAAGAAAGAGGAAGTGGAAAATAAAATCTGATTAGATCTGTCTCAGCAGTCATGACATAATATAGTAAAATGAATTTAACACAGTTAGCCAAAGGCAAACGTGTCAGGTCAGCAGTTTGGTAGACACTGAAAAGGAAATAAAAATGGGCCTCGGTGCATTGCTAAATGAGTCCACGAGTTCCCAAGTGCGGTGCTGTGGAAAGCTCTCCCTCTCTCTAACTCTGTATTGATTTTCCTGAGATTCCAGTTATGACTGCCCAGAAGAACTGCTATTTAAGGCTTTGTGGTGGGCACCTTGTATATCTGTCGACTGCAGGGATATGAACCATTGCACATGGAGTCACCTGGTAAGCGTGTCTAGAGTTCTTTGAACACATGCTATCTTTGTTACAATTTTCTATAGTTTTTCTTCCATCGATCTTCAGGGGAGATTTATTCATGTCTTTTCACCCTTCTAGACCATTCTTGGTATGTTAGGAAGCCAATATAATTGGGCGGAGATGAGGATAGGTAATATAGATTTTTTTAAAAAATCAAAAGAGGGGCAGCTGGGTGGCTCAGGGAGTTAAGCATCCGACTCTTGGTTTGGGCTCAGGTCACAATCTCACAGTTTCATGAGTTTGAGCCCCACATTGGGCTGTGTGCTGGCAGCATGGAGCCTACTTGGGATTCTCTCTCTCCCTCTCTCTCTGCCCCTCCCCCGTTCACACTGTCTGTCTCTCTCAAAAATAAATAAATGAACATAAAAAAATAATAAAAGAGATCCATTTTCAGTTTGACAGTTAAGTGAGTAGAATTGGTCAAACTTTTTTTATAGACGGGAAAACTAGCATCCAACCTGTAAGAAATCGGTCACAGTTTAGGGGATATGTTACAAGCAAGATAAATAAAAATGGTCTAGAGTATCAAGCCAAATTCTCATTATTCATCTCTGGTTCACACTCTTCTCTTCCATTCCAGACTAATCAAAAGAAGCCTCTTCCGCTCACAATTGCTCTGTGTACATTTCCCCCAGATCTGGTATTCACATGAACAACATGGTTTATTTATATTTCAGCACCAAATTGGAAAGATGACATCATTCATTTACAGTCTTTATCCCATGACATGCCTATTCTCCAACACCTCATTTCAGCAGACACATTTAGGACTGCATATAGCATCTTGTTTAGCTTGTACATTCTTTTATGGGATACAGTTCAAAGGTAGGAAACTTTAGGCTTGTTGCTAGTAAGAAAATAATCTCATAAAATCACAGGAGCTTCCCCAAAGGATAAGGACATTATGATGTTTACAATAGCAGAGTTATTATTTGTTCATTTAGGCTTCATCGCTCATTCTTGGGTGAGCCCCTTCCTTCTTGACCGTGGCAGGTCTTACAGCTCCCTTCAGGCTCTCAGAATTCTGTTAGAAGAAACAATTTCAGATTTATTAGTTCATGAGTTCAAAAGTACAGGTTCCTAACAATACTGGAGTGAATTTCAGGCGTGAACACTGTATTTGAGAATCACTTGTAGGAGGGCAGGCCGAATGAGGGGACTCTCAGTACTTGGTCGGCAACAGCTCCACTGACCTGCTCTTTCTCACAAGCTGTAACTTGCCCATTGGGTCTTCTGACACTTTAAGTGGACAGGAGAAGGGTGAAATTGCTATCAGCTGCCAAAGATTGCCTGGGATTTTTTATTTAATTGTTAGGTGGACTTTTCCCTCTATTTTTATTGTTTTTAACCATACACATGCATTTTGTTACACCCACTGTGAGGACTTTCAGATATCATACACATTTTTCAAAATGGGGTGAGTAAATCATGAGATATCCACTGGCAGATAGAACTGGGATATGAAGTGTTTCCAAAACTTAACAGAACCAAAGCATCTATGGGAAAGCTGTTTCTGTTTGATTAGCTGTTTGTCTTTTCTGCTAGTAGCATGGCAAAGAGCAAAGGCTAGATATTGAGAATTGGAAGACCCAGGAAATCTCTATGTTCTATGTAAAAATGAGACTCTGGGGGCTGAAATCTCTGTCTTGATTTTCTAGCTGCAAGTGAGGATAGTAATAATTCCTCCCAGGAAAGTTTTGAGGATTAGTTAGATTGTACATGAAACATGCTACAAGAATACACTATGTTAGGTCCAGAATTGTTATCAAAGTATTATTTATATTACCTAATAAAATTCCAGCCAGTTGGAGGCTCTGCCTTTGATTTCCAGCTCTCCTGAAGTGCTGATGGTTTGCTATCATCTCAAGCCACCAGTGGGATTCTTATGGCAACTCCTGAGATGTCCTCAACTCTCAGTGACCTTCCCTGGCTAAAAACAAGTGTGCAGTCACCTCTAGGATGGCAGCATCCCTCAAAATCCTGGCTCTTCTTTCTTTCAGTCCCTCGTTGCAGCACAGTGTATTTACATCTACTAGGCCTGGTGCTAGATTCTGGGGAGAGACAGGGGAAAGAAACAGTCTCAAGTCTACTGACAGCTGGACAGGTAGATCTGAGGTTACAGAGTGATGATAAGCAGGAGACGCACATGTCCTGGCATCAGGGATGGGGTCAGGAAAAGGCTCCTAGAGAAAAGATTGTGAATTAGCCAGACACAGAAGGAAGAGGTGAGGGAAGGTGGCTGGGGGAGGTACCACAGGCTGAGGACATACCATGTATAAGAAGGAGAGGTTTCTTACTGTCAACAATGGCAAAAATATTAGTAATAATGGCATTTGATTTTTTACTGTAAGCCTATTATGGACCACGAACTGACACTTGAAGCCCATTGTATCCCTTGCTCCTCACAGTGACCTCATGAAGGGAGACACCATTACTCCAATTTATAGTTGAGGAAATTGAAGCTTACAAATAGTTAACTCTCAAAAGACCACATAACCAGCAAAGACATAGAGTGGGGCTTGAATACAGACAGTCTTATCTCCAAATACACACGTGTAGTCTCTACATTTCCTGGCTTTCTGGGCTGGATATTTTTATCTGCCTTTTTCCATGGTCTTTAGGCATTTTTCTAGGTTCTATGACCCTGTTAGGTCAATTCATTGCTGGTCTGTTTCTTGCCCTACATAATAAAATGGTACAATTGTATGTCCTGGGAATTGAAACCATGACACCTGGGTGCCTCATGTGACAAACATAGTGGGGCATAAATTGCAGTGGTCAGCTCTTCTACATCAACTTTGCTCCTTTTGCTCAATTTCCCCAAAAAGCACTATCAATTAAATTGTCCATAGAGAGCTTTCCCTAGAAGCCATCATAGCATCTCCATCACTATTTTTGCATTTGGCAGCTTTTGAGTGGATTCCTCTGCCTTGTCTTGTAAGACCATCACATGTCCGTAGTTCTGTGTCTCTGCCCAGCCCTTTCCCATCTTTTCATCCAGGGCTTCCTTCTCTCGCTTGCTCTAGGATGTAGGATGTGATTGTTGGCAGTTTGTGATTGTAAGCTTACTCTGGACCTGTCTGATCGCTTGATAATGTAAAACAAAGCACCTTCAGGTATATATCCGCTTTTTTCCCCCTTTTAAATCACATAGGGGGAAGTGCACTTACATCTAATGTAGGTCCAAGCTCTTTTACCAAATGGCATGGTGCATTCTTTATTAAGTTTCAATTTGACTAAAAATGAAAACTTCTGGATCAGGAACAAAAGGAGCTCTATAGGTGCTGTAATTTTGCCTTGTGTCTTTTTGGCTGGTCTTCCAGCTCCTGATGGAATCTTCTCTGGTTTTTGTTCTGTGCAGACCCAGAACAGAATGAAGCTGATGGCAGACAACTATGATGAGGACCACCACCATTACCACCACCACCACCACCACCACCACCACCGATCTCCTGGGAGGCCACAACATTCCAATCACAGGCCCTCTCCCGACCAGGTCAGTTTCACTGCCGCTTACCTCCAGGACCCCTTTTACCCTTTGGATATTTTAAGATAAAATAAATAATCCTCAAGAAATAATAAACAGCATAAAGTGATATGTCCTTTGAACTGAAACTAATAGCTTTGGTATTTATTTCCATCACTCAAGGAGTCTAAATGTTTTCCTTTCTCCTTCCTCTTTAAGGTTTTGTCTGTTCTTGTTTATGTTATGCATTTTCTTTCCTCCCCTCCTTTCTATTTTCATAGATATGAAGTCTATTGCTGGCTCAGTATCTAATGGTGGGTTACTTTGGAATGTCTCTTTCAGAGTTTTAAGAGAAAGCACTTCGTTTCCATGAGCTTGGCAACCAGAGAAGCCTTGAGTTTGCTGAGTACTTTCCTAGAAAATTCCTTAGTGATACAAATTAACTGTGGGGTAAAACAACATGAAGAGAAATCAGTTTTGCTTGCATTTTAGCTGGTGAAGTCAAAGGGTCTGGTTTATTTGATTTGGACCCTATCTTCTCCCTTGACTAAGCAAAGCAAGTTAAAAGAAGGATTGACAAAAACAAAAATCTCCTGTGGTCTTCCATGATATTTGCATTCACCCAGCAAATATAAAAACTATTTACAGTGTTTAGGATTAAAACTCCTGAAGGTGAATTTCATGGACATTATGAAATTAAATGCAAACTAGCAGGTTATATAATCAATATTAATAGTATTTTCTCCTTTATGGTACTCTGAGCTTCTTGTGTGTGTAATCCTAGTATAACTTACACAATAAATTTCAAGAGCGATGGGGCCATAGGTAATGGAATAGAATCATCTGGATAAGTATGAATGCCTTTGTTATATGTTTCTGGATATGTGAAGAGGGAGGGCTTATTGGAATTACCTGTGTGAAGAGCGGTTTAACTGTTTGTTGGAGGAGGAGGTGCTTATTATGCCTCTACAACTTTTTTTTTTTTTTCCGGACGGCTCTGTTTCCTTTTCATCTCATGTCACTAGCATCCCAAAGGAGAAGTTAAGATTGCTAAGTCTCCAAGATGTTTTACCAGGAGTACAACTCCGGCGGAGCCATTTATATGGCATGCTACATAAGAAGAGCTCCCTGGAGCTGTGCAGTGAAGTAGCTCCAACCAGGAGGCCCTCTGCCCCCACCCCAGCTTGGCCCTACCCTTTTACCCAGAAGCATTTGCCCTCAGAGTCCTCAACACTGCAGATGTTCTTATAGGACATCTAGATTTCTGAAGCCAAGTGCAGAAAGGCACCAGTTCATGTTATTAGCTCTCAAAAATGGTTCTTAATTGGGCAATCAGCAAAGTATACAGAGAGAGATAAATTTCATGTCATTATCTTGTATGCCTGTGGTTTTGCTTTGATTTAGCTTTATTTTTTCAATTCTCATCCCTTGCCATCCCTACCACCAGTCACCCAACCTAGTATACCTGACATCCTACTAATTAAACATCTTCATTCTTATTCTTGGTCCCTGCCTTTTTCCATACTGCCCTTTGCTCCTTGACCTGCTCCCAGAAGGGGTAAGTGTGAGGTTTCATTGGTGCTAGAAGGCCACGCTGGGCTTTCCCCCAGAGAGAGGAAAAGAGAGCACCATAAGGCAGAAAGAAGGATTTGGAGCCAAATTAGGGGAGTGAGTCACACAAAGACCTGCTGAGGTAACAAACAGGCTTGTTTCATCACAGAGACACATATGCTAATATGTCCTGCTAGAAACCGGATACCAGATCAAATTTATTGCCTTTGTGAATGATATTTCTCACAAAAGCCAGTCTCCTGCTGTTTTTCCAGAGATCTTTAATCACAAAATAGAGGTCTCACCAGCTTGGTTGACCCTGTTATGTTTGTCCACCAACAAACAGTAGAGGTTGTCATAGGGCAGAAGTCATTGCTCTGGGGCAATGCCCTTTCCAGAAGAGTTAGCATCCCTCAAGGTGTGTCTGGCTAAGATGTGTCATCAGGAGCTTTGTCATCGCTACTGTTAGGAAGATGGTGATGGTCTTCCACTCCCACATCCTTCATCTCAGTGACCACTCTAAGTGACCCATGGACATAGAGGCAGATAACCTCTTCTACAAATGAGAAACCCAAGCCCTCACTGGGGGGTGGAGGTAGTAGACTGACTAGGTTGGGCCCTGCTTCTGATTATTTGCTTGCTCAGCTAATACTTGGAACACATATTCCATGCCAGCCTCTACACTGGCTTTGGGAAAGAACATGAAGGACAAGACAGAACCCCTGCCTTCAGGGAGTTTGCTGTCTAGTCTGAAGACAAAAATCTAGGTTATCAGATGTCTCTTTCAGTTTTTTTCTGGATCATATCAATCAGAACCTGCCATTTAAAAGGTAGTTATGATTTAACTAAGGGCCCATGACTTAGGAATTAACTCTTCAGTGAAGTTCACCTTGAAAGTGACACCCTTGACCAGAAGGATAACTTTGTGGTTTTAAATTGGAGTCAGCAAAAGTATAAGGCTTCCTTGATACACTCTTTCAATTAGAAAAGAGAGTTGACTAAGAAGACCTGGCATGAGTAGGTTGACTCCAATGATGGAGATGGCAACATCCTCTGGGCTGGTGATCTTTTTGACTAGGAGTCCCAGGTCTAGGACAACCATGCTTTCAGCTATAATCACCAACAGCTTATATACCAAAATATGGGTTGTTGTAAACTAAGTTCCACAATGTAACAGTCATCTGAAGGCTTGGAAGTCTTTCCTAGATGATTACAAACTCTATTCAAAATTGTGCAAACATATATACTAATATGTGTGGAGTGGAGGTATATCTCGGGAGAAAGTGGCAGTGTAAGAGTCTGAACAATGATTGATTTGGATAAAATTTAAACTAAATGTCCATGATGTACCCATGTTAACTGAACCGACTTAAAGGGGAGAGGTCTCTTCCAAGCAATTCCTGATTCTGTTCCTGCGAATATTCCAGCCATGAGTTTCCTGTGGCCTGAGAATTGACCAACAGTGTCTTCTGTAAGAGAGGCTACAAAATGTTGCCATTGTCTCTTGAGCTTTATAAAAAGATCAAAACACATGAAAATAGAGAAATATAAGAAAACCAGTCACTTTGCTACTCTTCCAGAGAAATTCATTTTTCCTTAGGAAATTCAATTTAAGTATTGCTCAGTACTTGCAGAATTAGATTCTTTTTCCATTTCTTCCCCATTCCTTTCTCCTTCACAATGATTTTGCTTTCTCCTCAGGAGAAACTGAATCCAAGGGTTATAAGTCTAGACGAGCATTTCCCAAAGTAACCTTTGGAACATTAGTCCCAGGAGGAAAGTCTTGAAACAAAGATTCAGTGAGCAAAGAATTTTGGGAAAATGCTGCATATTATAACTCAATTTTAGAGAGTCTTGGTGCAATTAGCAGATCAAAGGATCTACAAAGTCATATAAGAAAGAAAGCTCTCCAATTTTATTTAATCCAGCATTTCCCAGACTTATTTGATCATAGAATTTTTTTTCTTTTCTTTTCTAGTAACATCTGTGCTCTGAAAAATACTGTTCTCAGAGTATCAGGTGAAGAAACAGACTACCCGGTTTAAAACATAAGTGATCCAGTTTCCAGCAGGGTTTTTCATCAGAAGGTGGAGTTTTGAGGCAATTTCTGCTGTGCTCTGCATACCAGAAAATGCGAGTGCCTCTTTCATTCATTTCTTGGGATACCTTTATAAAGACTATAATGTCTGAGAATGAGTTATCCCACCAATAACCCGGTAGATCTGAACTAAAGGAATCATTATAAGGGTGAGGATCCAGGAAAACAAGGATAATCATAAATACACAGCCCTTCAGGAATTGAAAATGAGTGTTATGAGGGGAAGGGACAATTTGGAGATCACATAAGTCAGTAGGGTGTACCAGTGCAATAAATAGCCTAGACCCCTACCCAAGAAAGGAGTAGGTGGTAACTGGTGGCCTGTCCCCATGATGGCCATAGCCACTGAAAATATCCAAGTAGATCATTCAGACACTTTTCAGTAATAATGCCTTAGGAAGTTTTTCAAACCAAGAAGTGGGCACGAGGGGGTACAATAAGCTACTGATAAGCTTTGAGAAACAACAAGGACCAAAGAATAAATGGGACAGACTGGAACCACTTTTGTGATTTTATTTTTAGTGGGGTTACCAAGACTGATTTTAGAAAAGCTAAGTGGAAATCAACTTCTCCTAAATGCCCTATGTACCTGTCATCAGTATCTGTTATTTTCTATAAGTACTGTCTTTCTTTGCCATGTCAATTATGTCAAGTCTTTTTACTACTTTTCTAAACATCGTATGATTTTTATTGTCCTACAAAAAAATCATATTTTATTAATCTCCTTCTAGTGGCTTCCACGTATGCAGAAAATCATCGGAGTGAACTCCACACTCCAGCCACCTCAAAATGCCAGGCCTTGTTCAGGCTGCCCTTTGGCATCCAGAACTCACATTCCTGTGCCTGGCTCTTAGGTTGGGCATTGGATCTTTAAGGACCTAGATCACACTATTTTTTGTGTGTGTGCAAAATATGCTTCCATTTGTTGGGGCGCCTGGGTGGCGCAGTCGGTTAAGCGTCCGACTTCAGCCAGGTCACGATCTCGCGGTCCGTGAGTTCGAGCCCCGCGTCAGGCTCTGGGCTGATGGCTCAGAGCCTGGAGCCTGATTCCGATTCTGTGTCTCCCTCTCTCTCTGCCCCTCCCCCGTTCATGCTCTGTCTCTCTCTGTCCCAAAAAGAATAAATAAACATTGGAAAAAAAAAAATTTTTTAAATAAAAAAAAAAAAATATGCTTCCATTTGTTAAAGAGTCTCACTCTGATTCTCATTTGTAGGAGCCTAAACAGTAAAATCTTAAACATTTCTGGTCTGGAAACCTCAGAATATATGGCCACTTTCCAAGCCCAGAACTTGCCTTTCTTCTCTCTCCCTCACACACAGGAGTTGGGAAGCTCAAGGACTTTTGACTACTTTGAAGACCAATTTAAAATTTAAATTTCACATTTTACTTATGGAAATCCTACTTCTAAAAGGAAAGCTACAGAGTTCAAGAGCATGGAAACATAATACTTCTTAAATTATTATGGAAAAATGTGGTTGAATTGCACGTTCCATTCATACTCTTTGTTATGTATTGCAAAGCATATTCACACCTGCCTGGCCCATAGTAGGCACTCAATAAATGTCTGTTGAAGGAATTATTCCCTTGGTACCTTTGGAAAATGGGAAGTGCAGATGAAAGTATCCCCATTGTACATGTAAAGAAGCTGGAGCTCAGGGATGTTGTTAATTATTTAGAGTCACACACCTGACAATCAGCAGGCCTACAATGAGGTCCTGAGTCTCTGACTGCTGTACATTGGTGGCAAACCTCTTTGGCTGTCAGTATGGGTGTATTTATGCAACCACGTATATTAAATACGGTTGCATGCCTATAACATCAGCTTTTTCTAGAGTACAAACGTGCTCTTGTTCCTTTTTCCCACTGAATTACGGTAAATTTTATCCTTTTTAAATTTAATTTCCAAACTTGAAATAAAATGTCATTTCATCAGCTCTGTTTCCATTCCCCCCGGCCCCCATTGTCTTTATTTCCATTCTTCTGTTATGTGCCTTTATCTTCTCATTTCCTCCCCTTTCACCTGTTCCCCTTTACTCTTTATTCTTGCTGTCCCTGTGCCAGGGAATTACCCTAGCTTTCTACAACTCTCCCGCTGCCACGGAATTACCACAGTGAGACCCTCAAGCAGTGGAGAGCATGGTACAGAGAGGGAGGGGAATTGTTCTGGGTTACAGAGGGTGCTTAGCAGGGCACTGCCAGGACCCACATTCCCTTGCTTACTCACTTATGGATCTCTGCACATGCAAGGACCTGGGGCAAGGCAGGGGCAAGGCTCTGGTTTCCAGAGCAAAGCATAGGATGCTTCAGTGGGCCAGGGGCTGCTACCAGATCTGCCAGGACTCTGGGCACACTTTAAGATAGTGATCTTACTGTGGCAGAAGCTGGTTTTTCCATTTTGCATCCTTAACTTTAGGGTATCCACTCTGTTAATCTCTTCCCTGAAAATTGGTTGCCTTAGTCCTAAATATTGCTCACTCCACTTAGCAATTTCCAAAATTTGTCTGCAAATGTAAATAGTGAACTGTGGTTCTTTCTCTGTTGCCCCTGGATACTGTGTGGTCCTGGTACACGTTAGCTCTCAGCCAAGACTTGAGTTCGTACGACTGGACACAATTCAGAACACTGAATGTCCACTTCAATTTTCTGCTGAAAATTCTCGTAGAATTTTACTTTAGACACTTGTCATTTTCTCATAAGCTATCAAATAACTTGGTCACTAAAGAACCCAGAACTAGGTGTGGCCTTCTTTTCAAGCTGTATATATGGGACAGATATACAGATTATATTTTAGGATGTAATGAAATGATCTTAGTGGTCCCACCCATGTTGACTGCACCTGTACTCTGCTTCACAGAGGCTATAACCCTTGCTACCTTGATTTTGAGATTTCTTGTCTCCAAACATCTCCCCTCTTCCCTCTTCTTACAGACAAAAAAGCCATAAGGTAGAGTTAGCTCAAAATAAAAACAGCATTCTTGCCCTCCTGTCCTCCCACCTCTGTCCATGCTGCACACACCTGAGCCTTGGGTACCTGCTCTCAGATAGAATTAGTCAGTGTCCTGCAGAGCCTTCATGTAGGAATTGCTAACCATCCCTACAATTAGGTCCTCATTGAGGGTAGTGGCCAGAGGCCAGTGACAACATTTCTAAATCCCAGGTATTTCTTAGCCCTAGACATGTGTGGTAAAAGCCCTCTGCTATCCCCCTCCTCCAGTGCCTCCTCGTCCCAGAGGCCTGCATTTCATGTTTGGTCAATAAGGAGTTGGTGGAGTCTCATTGTCCACCGGGAGAATGAAGCTGTCACGGCAGCCCCTCCCCAGGCCCTATTACTTCTCAGAAAGCCAACGCAAGGCCCTTGGATTCCCCCCTTGCCCACAGCCCCTCTCCGGGAAATGGTGGATGGGGCTTGTGATTGATGCCCCTGCTTTTGCCTTGTACTTTCACCAACAGATTAGCCAAAGTGCAGCCCTTTGAATTCTAACAAACAGACAAGGGGTTTAACTTACTCTGTTGCCCTCCGAAGATGGATTCTGTATATAGAGTTGTTATTCCTAGCTTTTGCTTAGGGAGGAAAAAAAGAATTTATTTTATGTTTTGAGGTTAAATGAATGTGGGATAAATGTATACATAGTGTCCTGTGTGTATATATGTATGTATCGCTATATGTCAGACGAACTGAGGACTTTTCCACATATGGAAGAATTTCTCAAGATCATGTTTAACTAGAAATTTCTCTCCCTAACTTCCCCTGAGTACATGTTTGAATCTACATTATATATACATATATACGTGTGTGTAAATAGGTTTTCATGTTTCCTACATAGAAGAAAAATTAACTACCATGTATCAGAGCTTACCAAAGTATAGTTACAGAACAATGGAGAAAAGTAGAAATTTTGAGTTCTCCATGACAGTAACCTAATAAGAAAAGTTACATATCTTAGGTTTTTATTATTGGTTTCCCATTCAAGTTAGTATACCTGAAGCCAGTCTGAATAAGAAACAATCAGGTTTTTTACTTTGCAGACCTAATTTCATGGCCCACTTCTTGGACAAAGTGTTGGGTTTTGGTTTCATCTAGGGATGAAGCCTTCAAATTCAAAACCCTATGAAGAAGACTCTTGTTGGGCTGATGTTTATTGGTTGGGAGAAGGGTTCAGAGATTTCAGCCATTCCCACTCTTGGGCTGGTCCCGTCACAGAGCCAGAGATACCCTGGGATGCATTGTGAAATAAATTTTGTGAGCCACTTGTCTCTTTTCTTTTTAGAAATTAAAAACTGAGGTATAACACATTTAACATTATATTTGTTTGGGGCATATAACATAATGATTTGATATAGGTATGTATTGTGAAGTGATTAGCAAAGTAAGTTTAGTCAACATCCACCACCACACATATTTTTTTCACAAATTCTTCTTTTTGTTGTGATTATTTGCCTCTTTGCTGGTACTCCTTTTATCACCAGTGGATTGGAAGATGCTGTTTAAAACCCAACAGGTTTTTTCAAGTAGATGAAATAGAAAGATGGCTCAGATGTCACTTTTTTCTTTATCCCTCAAAGACAATGAAAAATCCCCAAAGCTACTGAAACACAAGTCAGGAGGAACGTATGGTTTCTCACCATTGGGACATAAAGGTGGCGGCTTATGTGTTTGCTTGTTTTTAAGAGCAGAAGCTCTAGAATGACCCTGCCAGGGTCTCTGTGAGGCCACAGGTAAAAAGGGACATGAGGACAAACCTCTGCACCATTGCTGGGAGAGCATTTAACGGCTCCTTCCTCCTCCAGCAGTTGTGAGCTCACCCAACCATCACAAGCCACTGGAGAGCAAGGGAGGCAGGGTGACAGCCCCTGGGAAGCTAGCTTTGCAGATGAGCAGGTTGTCACCAATGCTCTTTAATCTGGGTGTGATGTTAATTCCTGACATGTAAGCACATGAGGGCACGATTTGGTAAACCTTGCCAGGCAGCGTCTTCACGCCTGGGAAAAAGGCAGAGCTGCTTAACGCGGCAGGATCCTCCTGTTAGAAAAGGATTTTTCCTTACAGAAGATTTGAGCCTGTGGAAGATTTCAGTCTTACTCTATTTGGGGTAAAGTTTTCATCCCCCCTTTTACTGATTCCTCTTAGTTTTAAATCTTGTTTGCAGTATTAGGGTTTCATTAAAAGATTTGTTGCAGTATCCTTTGAGTCAACAGGGGTTTTCAGACACAGCCTCCACTCCCCAGCTTGTAGATGTAACTCATCTTGGCAACATTGGAGGGTTGATTCCTTTTCAACTTGCTGCTTTAATCCAGTCACATTTGTCTAAGAGGCAGCCCTCAGGCTCCCCCATTGAAAGGAGGTGGCCAACCTTGAAATGTCTGGAAGCCGGGAAATCCATTTTCTGTTGCTAAACACCATTGCTTCTCTTTTTTTCTTGAACTGATGTTGTAAGGATCACGTTTGACTTACACACACCAGGCACTTGCAGCACCCTGAAGATAAGGGAACAGCAGAGGAAGGAGAATTGGAAACATCTTTTAAACTTATAGGGCACACGCACACATTCTGAAAACTACCTTACTTATACAACAATAGCACTTTAAAAATTGTTTCAGCATCCCTATATGAATGAATGATCTGATTAGCCTCCAGCTGTGAACACCCCCTGAGATGCTAAAATGTGTACGGATGGTTTTATACACTATCAGGTCCTTTTCACACCTACCCTTTGGCCTTTGGCCTTAGTTCAATGCCAAATAATTTGTTGCAACAGTAGTAAACTTATCAGATGCTAACAACAGGGATAGTGTGCCTAGTTATATTCGTATATATTTGTAACATCTACAAAGTGGTTTAATTTACATTCTCCAATTTAATTCATTCGGCACCCTGTGAAGTGTCAGGGTCAGGATATGATCCCATTTTCTTTTTGAGGCAGCTGAAGAAATGACGAGTCAAGAAACTAGGGGATTTGGTTGCCCACTAGCCAGAAAATAGCAGAACCAGAATCGTGTTAAAAACACAGTTTTCACTGTATTTAACAAAGCCAAGTGTTAATGACTGATGGATGAGGGAGCAAATATAAAGCCTGTCTCCACCCTCACCCCTTTTTTATGACTATCTGGCAGTGGCTCAGCTTTTAACAGATGTTGACTTTGGGCTCTGAAACAATATTGTTGGCCAACGTAGAGCCTTCCAGTATTTCCATCTACAGCTGGGTATCTTGCATCTTTCAGCTGAGAGATCTGGTGCCATGTACAAAAGACTGATTTGTCAGAATTACTTTTGCTTGAAGGAAATAGAAAACTAGTTTCTTCAGATTGCCCCACAATGAAGCCTCCCCCCCTGCCGCCAAATCAAGAAAATGCCTGAAGATACTTCATTAGAAGTGAAGGAGAAAGCCAACCACTGCCCTTCGCCAAATTCTGTAATGTTTTTTGATGGCTTAGCAAAGGACTCAGATGGTTGCCCTCCTCAGGGTATCCCTGTGAGTTGAACTTGCTGAGAAGAACCACCCCAGACAGCACAGGCTTCTAGTCTCTGCCTCTCCCTTGAGGAATACCCTGATGTGTCTTTTAAAGTACTAACCTCCCCTGTCAAGTTCCTGCTCAGCCAGTGACAGTCAGCTTTCACCAACTGGGGTTGGAAGAATAAACCAGGAAAGTGGCTGGTGTAGTGCAAAGGAGGAAGGAGCCATTCTTGGGAGAAACAAGTAAACACAATCTTGGCAACTCTAAGGAACTCTGGAATCTAGGCAGCCTTCTGTCTCAGAGGAGTTGAGTCATTCAGAAAAGAAAGAAACTGATCCTATATACTTACTCATTTGGAAATAATTTGTTAAATTCCCACATCTGAGACATTGTGAGGCCATATGAAGTGAGTGAAGGCTCTCCTTTTCCCCTTAGGGACCTTGAAATTTGTTGGGGTGCTGCTGATATAAGCCCATTTAAGGGACAGGTACTGTGTGCATGTGAGGATCTCTTTCTTTGAAGAACCAGAGAGACCATATCTAAGTTGTGCCATCCCACTCCAACCAGGACCTTTAATAGCTCGCAAAGAGGGCAGTACAAAGTCCAAAGTACTTCAGAGCTGAGAAAAGCAGAACCAACAAATGGCTTTGGGGTCAACATGAGCTCTTCTTTCTGTGGCTTCAGAGTTCACATGTCAGAAGGGTATACCTTTGTGGTCAGACAGACTGGAATTTGACCCTGGCTCCACAGCTCCTAGCCAGGTGTCCTGTGGTGAGCTACCTGATCTTTTTTCCTGAGACTTCCTTTCCATATCTGCACGAAGCCTCCCCAAGCCTGTGTCATGGGGCTGTGGGGAGACTCAGTGAAGAAACACAGAAAGCGGCCTTGCTCAAACCTTGCACAGGTGCTAATACCTGCGGGCTCATTTCTAGTCCAGGTCGGAAATAAGCTAACATTTATATTGTAACAGGGCACAAAGAAGGTATCTGAACCTAGATAGGACTCTCTTCTTCTTTGGGGTCTGCAAAGGTAACAGATACAGGCTGTAACAAATACAGATCATGTAAGAGTTTACAGGCATTCCTGACCTCATCACCTGAATAGAGACATCCATCCATAGGCAGGGAAGGTGAGAGGCATGGATGGAAGGTCTCCAGAGAGAAGATATAGACTTGACCCTGAGAGTAAACTTACTAGTGCTCTGACAAGGCTAGGTGTCCCTGTTTTCCAGATTCATACCCATAGGTTTCCTTTACACATGTGTTTGTCTTCCCTGGCTCTGGCCAAGCCCATAGTTGGAAATGCCAAGAAGAGTTGCTTTGGTTGAACCCAGACACAGGGCACATCATAAATCCCATACTCTAGTCCTGCTTCCAGGACTTGTGCAGCCAAAGTTTGCAGAATCCTTGGGCTTGATGTTTCCAGAAAGTTCAGAGAAGGCATGTACTGAAGTAGGGTAGGGATAGGTCTGGTGACTGTATACACCAGACCCTGTTAGAATCAGGACAATCTCTTTGTATCCCTTCCCTCAAGAGAGCCAAGGTGAACTTTCTGGTAGAGACAGCTAGCTGAATTCTCACAGAGGCAGTGGGCTGATTTAAAAGTGATGCTTCCTGGGGTGCCTGGGTGGCGCAGTCGGTTAAGCGTCCGACTTCAGCCAGGTCACGATCTCGCGGTCCGTGAGTTCGAGCCCCGCGTCAGGCTCTGGGCTGATGGCTCAGAGCCTGGAGCCTGTTTCCGATTCTGTGTCTCCCTCTCTCTCTGCCCCTCCCCCGTTCATGCTCTGTCTCTCTCTGTCCCAAAAATAAATAAACGTTGAAAAAAAAAAATTAAAAAAAAAAAAGTGATGCTTCCATAATTTTACTCTCATTTTCAGTTAGGACAGGTGTGACAGGTCCCCTTTAGGGACCTAGTCCTCCAATTTCAAGAAAAAAAGCTAACTGTTAATTCTAATTGCAGGTGT